TAACCTTTTAAATAACATTAGAATGATTGTGTTGATAACCCAAATGTTCACTTATTAATGATTTTATGTTCTTCATTACAAAAGTAAAAATTATTGACTTTTTTGAGCATATTTGCCTAATTTTGATTAATACAAACTTTTATGAAACTGAAGGAATATATTTAGACTTAGAAATTTACTACATGAAAATAAGTAGAATCCATGATGATTGGGAGGAAAATAAAGCCATTGCCTTAGAAACAGTTGTATTTAAGTTAACTACTTGATATCTCAGTCAGATCTAGACATAATTATAAATATGCAGGGGTACCTGAGTGGCTCAGTTGATTAAGCATCCGACTCTTGGTTTTGGCCCAGGTCATGATCTCATGGGATTGAGCCCCCTGTCCCACACCATGCTCAGTGGGGAAGCTGCTTAGAGATTCTCTCCCTCTGCCCCCCCCACTCGTTCTCTCTCTCTCTATGTATATAATAAATAAATAAACCTTAAAATATATATAGATATGCAGATATAGATCTAGATGTGAACATCCATAGAGATATGTACATTATTAATTATAAGTTAGTCTTCACAGTGGCCTACTGCTTGCTCACTGCTAAGCAACCTCAATATAGGAAGAGTAGGAAATTGAAATCTGTGTCTAATAAAATATGACATACCTTTTCACAAAGTAAATTTACAAAAAGATTAATTTGAACTGGATTTGCAGGAATGATTTACATGAATTGACATCAATTGTGGTCAGAAATGGCATAAGGAAATCAACCATCTGCAGGGTCCCCAAATTATAAATCATGTCATACCTACAGCAAAATGTTGCAGATAAATCACAGTGAGAAATGCCACAATAAATCTCAGACCTTTGAACTAAAAGCAATTTGTCTGACTTTGCAAATGATATAAAATATTGCCTTCAGTTTTGTACACTTTCAAATGCCACATTGTGTGGTAATCAGAGATGAGTAATAGGAATAAAGACAGCTTGAAGTTATGATATAACAGGAGTGAATCAAATGTTTTTGTCCTTAGTTAACTAAATAAAAGGGGGCTAGGTTAGGATTATGTTCAGCAATAAGCACAGAAAACTAATAGTGGCTTAAACATACAGAGATTTATTTGTCTCCGGCAACAAGAGGCCTGGAGGTAGGCAATCCAGAGTCTTAAAAGAGTCTCAATTAAGTCTTAGAGAAGGGTCTTTCCATTTCTCCCCTGCATATCATTAGCAAATAGATCTTCATCTTCATACTTCTGATCTCATGGTTGCAAGATGGTTGCTCTACCCCTAATCTCACATCCACATTCCAGACAGGAAGAAGGAGAAAGAAAAGGAGGAACTAGCAGTACCTGTATCAGGAGAACAAAGGTTTCCTAAATCCCTGGCTGATTTCTACTTAACTCCATGGCCAGAACTGTGTCCCATGGCCACCTCACCAGCAAAAAAGGTATGGAAAGATAGATATTTCTTGGTAGCACATTGTCAGTTTAAACAAAATTAGGGTTCTGTTAGTAAGGAAGAGGGAGAAGAATGTATATTCAGTAACCAACAAGGAGCAGATGCGTTATAAAGGCTGTAGAGAGAGGGAAGAGAACTTCAGAGATAATAAAACTTTGAGAAACAAGTGCTTTTGGGGGCAGGTGAAAGAAAATGGATCATCATAGGACAGAGAGCAAAAGGACCTAGAGATTTAAAAGGAAAACAGGAATATTGTTAAAAGAGTTATCCAAGTTTTGCAATATTATTAGGTTTGCATAATGTTATGGCACATTTCTAAATTACTTTTAAATATGAGGAAGATCATTACATTATGATTCCATAAGTCATGGCTATCTGATAATTGACATTAACATTCCTTTTCAAATGGAACATTGATAAATACAAAAAAAGATAGTGTAGGTTCCTGGGGCAGATGTCTGGGGCTAAAGAAAGGAGGAAATAAATGGGTGTCCAATTTTCTACAAACACCAGATGCTGTAACAATTCTATAAGTGGTAATACATTAGATTACTTCAACATGTCAGAAAGGAAATTATTGCATAGCCAGCTGATGTGTCTCTTTAAACACATGTTTCATCCTCCTGAAGAAAAACTTTTCCCTTTATGAACGCCATTTCATAGCCACAATAATAACAACTTTTTTTGGTGTTATACAGTGTTTTTTTTTAAACAGCTGTTCTTCAAAATGTGATCCATATGATAAATAACCTCATCTGAACCAAATCAGAAATTGATTAAACTTGTGTCTCCCAAATCTAATGATGACATGTGAATTTCCTTGCATGTTGAATGCGAATCATTGTTGCTAGCAAATGTGTTTTGATTGAAGATCATTTTGATGGCTAAAATTCCAAAGTCTCATGTAAACGTGAAAGGAGTTTCAACACTAAAAAGGAGGGCGCCTGGGTGGCTCAGTTGTTAAGTGTCTGTCTTCGGCTCAGGTCATGATCCCAGGGTCCTGGGATTGAGCCCCACATCGGGCTCCCTGCTCTGCAGGGGGCCTGCTTCTCCCTCTCCCGCTCCCCCTGCTTGTGTTCTTGCTCTTGCGCTCTCTCTCTCTCTCTGTCAAATAAATAAATAAAATCTTTAAAAAAAAAAAACCACTAAAAAGGAGAAATTTGCCTAAACTTTCATATAAATCTGTCTTGGGTTAATGTGAACTTAAAAACAAAATTAATAGAGAAGATAATGTAGTATTTGCAATGTTATTTGAAACATAATTTTTTTCTTTTTAAAACAGATAAAATTCTTTGATACAACTATTTCTAATGCCAGTATTTTATATCAACTAAAATAAGCCACATCCATTTAATTCCATAATTTAGCATTTTTCTCATTTGGAAGGAAATATGCTTTATCGTCTTTATACTTCCATTTATTTTATGGGAACTACAATTTCAATAAACAAAAAGTAATAATACAAAGTGTCGTTCATTTCTCTTCCTTTAGTATAATAACTAGCTGTGGGAAATATTTTACTTATTTATCAGAAAACAATCTGAATTTCTCTTATCTTCAGTGTAGCTGATGTTAAAATATTGCCTTATACACTAAAATGGAAAATAGTTAAGTATCAAGATAAGTAAACAATAATTCCATTCCAGTGGCCTTTCTCCATTTCCTCTGAGTTCCAGACTGTTCTTCTCTTTGCCCTTCCTAAAGAGGAACTAGCTTTCATAATATACAGGAGAATCTTGACCCTGGAAAATGAATCTAAAGGTCTTTAGAGGACTTCCGGGCAGTCTCGTGCTCCACCTAATTACTAATTCATTCAGGACATCTACAGTGAGCACTCACTACTAATTGAAGATTGGGGATATAAAGGGAACCTAGTAATAATCCCTGAGATTAAGGAGTTTATGGTGGTGGCCAGTGAGAGTCAGGTGGGATAGTAGGTAGTTTTAAAATAAGGTGATGTAAGTCTAAATTCAGGGGATGACAAGGTGCTATTGGAACGTATAGAAAGGACAATTAGCTCAGTCTTAAGGACATTCAATAAAGCTTCTTGGGGAAGGTAATGGCTGGTTGAAACCAAAGGTCAGTGAGGATTTAGCTCAGGAAAATTAGTTGGAAGAAGAGCATCATAGACAAAGTTATGTGGAAATGCTCAGAAAAGAAAGAACATGCCATATCCTGGATGCTGCCAGTGTGGTTCAATCCAGACAGAGCACAGTGTGAGTGAGATCATGTGAAAATAAGAAGCTACAGAAGTAAACAAGACTAAATTTCAATGGGCTTAAAGTACCATATCCTCCTCCAAGAAATGTTTTGTTTGGTTTTCTAAGCTGGTAATAGGAATTAGAATCACTATTGAACTCCCTACTATTTATTAAAACACAACAATTACTAGGATATCAGTAAATATCTGTAATTATATGGTAGGTTTTCTTATTTATATAGAATGGTTATTTCCAGAGTTTAAAGAATTAAAGGAGAGGGGGTTGTAATTACCAGTTTTAGCGTGAGCCATTTAGAGAAATTGTACCTTCTTAATATTATAGTAAAACACTAAGGGAAAATATTATATGAGACAGTAAAGGCAATAGCAAATAACAAAATAATGAAAATAGTGTATACTGTTCTAATGTGAATATAGTAAAAAAAATTTTCTTTTAAATTTAGCCATTTCTCAAAACAAATGAATATCACAAAGAAAGGTATTAGCAGTAAAATTAAGATTGGGAATATTTAATTCAGCCTTCACACATACTATTTACTAGACACTTGGGAGGAATGTTCATTTATTTTGACAAAATGGCCAGCAATTCTCTATACTACTGGAAATTTTAGCTGAGGTCAAAATTGTAAATGGAAATAACTTCTCAGAGAACAATTCAGTAGTATTGCTTTGCTTTGCTTTAATATGCCATGAAGAATGTGCTTCCAAAATATAAAATCTTGGATTGCTGGGCAAAAAGTAGGGAAGGATGATATTGTCCACGCATAAGAGGGTTTTGGGTTTTTTTTAAGATTTTATTTATTTGTTTGACAGAGTGAGAAAGAGAGCACAAGCAGGGGAAGCAGAAAAGAGAGAAGCAGGCTCCCCGCTGAGCAGGGAGCCGCCCCATGCAGGGCTCAATCCCAGGACCCTGGGATCATGACCTGAGCCGAAGGCATTCACTTAACCAACTGAGCCACCCAGGCGCCCGGCATAGGAGTTTAAAAGCTAAAGCTATGTTAAACTCCTCGCAAAAATGAATAGTGAAAACTTCAGGGTGGTTCATTTATTCTGAGAATGCTCTGTCCTGTGAGAACTCTGGTCTGTGTTTCGACAATTTGCCAAGCTTCTCTTGGCGACCCATCCTTTTTGTTTTATTTTGTTTTGTGTCTTCTCTTTATCAAATCTACGTGGAAAAACCACATTCAGGTGTAGTGGCAGTAAAACAAAACCCTGGAAACAGAGACATCTTTGTACTTCGGAATCACCGTCGAAGAGAATACGCAAGGACACTAAGTATGAGCTGCTGGGCACCCGTAGCTCAGATTCTCCGGTTCAGGCACCGGCACCGGAAGTAGCCGGCCTGTTTGACTTCCGCTCCCAGAGTATGAGCTCCTGGGGTTCGCCCGTTGGTTGTCAGTAATGCACTAGGAGTTCGAGAGTATGGAGGCAGCGCGCCCTCCCTCGACGACGGGGAAGTTTGTGGTGGTCGGTGGTGGCATCGCGGGTGTCACCTGTGCTGAGCAGGTAGGCTGGCTTCCCCGACCCCGGAGGCGGCACCCTCCTGCCCTTCGCCCATGTCCCTCATTAGCCGCTTCCTTCCCCACCCCACCCCCCCCGCACTCCTTGCTTTCAAATGTTAGAGACTGCGTGGTGGCCCTTGGACGAAGTTCTTAGTACCTGTCAAGCTTAGCCTTGGGCATAGGGAGGAGTGGGGAGCAAGGTTTTGGGAGGGGAACCCCAAAGCTGACTGAACCAGACTCTGGTCCTAGTTATGTCAGAGCAGCAAAAGGGCGGGGCGCCTGGGTGGCACATTCGTTGGGCGTCTGCCTTCGGCTCAGGCCACGGTCCCAGGGTCCTGAGATCGAGCCCCGCATTGTGCTCCCTGCTCAGCGGGAAGCCTTCTTCTCCCTCTCCACTCCCCCTGCTTGTGTTCCCTCTCTCTCTGTCAAATAAATTTTAAAAATCATAAACAGCAAGAGGGCTTAAAACTAATAGGTACTTGTTCAGAAAATTCAGCCCCGTTTCTTAATTAGCTGATGGAATTCAGCTTCCAGGTAAATGCCAGGTCCTTAGTTCATCGTTAATCGTAAATAACTGATAAACTCTTACGTTTTCTCCTATACTTTCTCCTATATTTCTATCCTATACAAGGTAGAAGAGATTTCATCTCTAGTAATGTTTTGTAAAACAACGAGCAAGTTATTAAATGTAGGTGGGGAGTGCTTTTCTGATTCTAGTGAATAATCAGACCACACACACACACACTCTCTCTCTCTCTTTCTCTCTCTCTCTCCAAAAAGGACTAGATTATTTTGTTGTTATAAAGTAAGCAGAAGCAATTATTGCAGTCACAGAAGAAGTGCAAGAAATTCAAGAGTTGTTTTTTTTTTTTTACAAACTTTTAATTTTTAGGTGTGTTTTTTCCATTTTTTCACCAAGTAAACACCTATGATCCAGGCATTGTACTAAGGGCTGATTAGTTATGTATAAACAAAGCATGCTACCTCCTTTTTTAAAACTCACGATCTAGTGGAAGAGACATGTAAATCAATCATTCCAATTTAGGGGTGCCTGTGGAGTTGGCAGGGTGTAAATTGGGGAGGGGGAGTCCTTTTGTCTCAGTATAGAAGATTGAGTAAAAGTTCACAAGGTAGACAAAAACCAGAGGGTGCTAAGGGAGGCAAGGATATAATCTCAGGTGGAAAAGCATGGCATTACCTGAGAGCAGCAAAGCTCAAAGTAGGTGGTGTTTGGGGGAGGTGACCAGAGATGAAGGTAGGAAGGTTGGCAGAGAACAGATCGTAAAGGGTCATATAAGTCTTGATAAGAATTTAACAAGAACTTGCAGGTAGTAAGATGATTTGGAGTAGTGGCCTAATGTGGTCAAATGAAATATTTTGAGAGGTGATTTGTTCCAAAGTGTTTGGGGCAAGGGCAGCTGGTTAAAATGAGACTGGAAGGCCAATTGGAAGGTGATTTTAGTACTATAAAGAAATTTTGAGGGCCAGGTGTAGCAATGCAAACAAAGTGGGGAAAGAAATTACAGAATATACAAAGAAAAGAAAGGTGGAGAGATTGGTAATATTATCAAGTATTATAGAAAGTTCAAATAAGGTGATGTTAAAAAGAATCTGATGGGTTTTAAGGATGTATAGGTGAATTGAAGATGTTCTTTTTTTCCTTATTGAATTATTGACATTCAATATTGTCTTAGGTGTATGTCATAGTGATTGGATATACATTATGAAATGGGCACCTCAATAGGCATAATTACCCTCTGTCACTATACAAAGTTATTACAATATTATTGACTATATTCTCTATGGTGTACATTACATCCCTACGACTTATTTATTTTATAACTGGAAGTTTGTTCCTTTTAATCCCTTAATATATTTTGCCCAACTCCCCTCCACCCCCAACCCCTTTCCACTCTGGTAATCAACAGTTTGTTTCCTGTATCTATGAGTCTCTTTTGCTTTGTTTGTTTTGTTGTTTAGTTTCCACAAATAAGTGAAATCATATAGTATTTGTCTTTCTCTGACTTATTTCACTTAATATAATACTCTCTGGGTCCATTCATACTGTCACAAAGGACAAGATTTCTTTTATAGCTGAATAATATTTCATTGAATATATTTATACCACATCTTTTTTATCTATTCATCTATCAGTGGACAATTAGGTTGCTTCCATATCTTGGCTGTTGTAAATAATGCTGCAGTGAACATAGGAGTGCATATATCTCTTTAAACTGGTGTTTCGGTTTTCTTCTCCTAAATACCTAGAAGTGGAATTGCTGAATCATATGGTAGTTCTATTTTTAATTTTTTGAGGAACCTCCATACTGTTTTCCATAGGCGATGCATTATTTTACATTCCCAACCACAGTGTACAATCTTTCCCTTTTTTCCACATCCTCAAGAACACTTGTTATTTCTTATCTTTTTGATAATAGCCAATTGGACAGTTGTGAGGTGATAGCTCATTGTGGTTTTGATTTGCATTTCCCTGATGATTAGTGACATTGAGCATGTTTTCATGTGTTTATTGGCCATCTGTATGTCTTCTTTGGAAAAATGTCTTTTCAAGTTCTGCCGATTTTTAAATTTTTTTATATTAAGTTGTTTAATTTTTTATTGTATTTTTGATATTAACCCCAATTGGATATGTGACTAGCAAATATTGTCTCCCATTCAGTAGGTTGTCCTTTTGTTTTGTTGATGGTTTCCTTTTCTCTGCAAAAGCTTTTTAGTTTGATTTAATTTCATTTGTTTTAGCTTTTTAGCTTTTTGTTTTACCTTGCCTGAAGAAAATGGTTCAAAAAATATTGCTAAGATTGGTGTCAAAGAGCTTACTGCTTATGTTTTCTTCTAGGAGTTTTATGGTTTCAAGTCTTATATTCAAGTCTTTAATCCATTTTGAATTTATTTTTGTATACTGCGTAAGACAGTGGTCCAGTTTCATTCTTTGGCATGTAAGCTGTCCAGTTTTCCCAACATTATTTATGAAGAGACTTTTTTCCCCCATTGTGTATTCTTACCTCCTTTATCAGAGATTAATTGACCATCTATGTGTGGGCTTATATCTGGGCTTTCTGTTCCATTCCATCGATCTGTGTGTCCGTTTTTGTGCCAATGCCATACTGTTTTGATCACTACAGCTTTGTAGTAGGGGTTTGAAATCAGGGAGCATAATACCTCCAGCTTTGTTCTTTCTCAAGATTGCTTTGCTATTTGGGGTCTTCTGCAGTTCCACACAAATTTTAGAATTCTTTCTTCCAGTTCTGTGAAAAATGCCACTGGTATTTTGATGGGGATTGCATTGAATCTGTAGATTGCTTTGGGTAGTATGGACATTTTAACAATATTAAATCCATGAGCATGATAGAGCTTTCCATTTATTTATGTCTTCCTAAATTTCTTTTGTCAGTGGCTTATAGTTTTCAGAATGTAGGTCTTTCACTTCTTTGCTTAAATTTATTCCTAGGTATTTTATTCTTTTTGATTCAGTTGTAAATGGGATTATTTTCTTAATTTCTCTTTCTGATAGCTCATTATTAGTGTATAGAAACTCGACCACTTTTTGTGCATCAATTTTGTATCCTGAAATTTTACTGAATTCGTTTGTTTATTCTGATAGTTTTTTGGCTGAATGTGCTCAGTTTTAATGGTGTAGTAGGGAAAGAAATAGAACTTGGTGGAGTTGAGGAACCAGAGTGTGATTTAAGAAAATTCTTTCAAGTGGCACCTGAGTGGCTCAGTTGGTTAAGCGTCTGCCTTCGGCTCAGGTCATGATCCCAGGAGAGCCCTGCATCAGGCTCCCTGCTCAGCGGGGAGCCTGCTTCTCCCTCTCCCTCTGTCTCCTGCCTTATGCTCTCACTCTCCCTCTGTCAAATAAATAAATAAAATCTTAAAAAAAAAAATTCTTTGAAGTTTAAAGTGAAAGAAAGGTTGTATGTAGCCGGAGGAAAATCATGAAAAAAAGAGTAAGTTAAGCCTCTAAATTCTGTTGAAGCTACTACTAAAATGGTTTTGTTTTCCCAGAGTGTATACTGGTTGAGCATTTGGAAGAGGCAGAATAGCGATGCCAGAACACTTGGGAAAAGTCAGGCTAAGATTCTGAGTATTTATTAGTAAGGATTTGCTCTAATATAATCCTACGGCAGGGAAGTGAAAATATTATTTTAAAATAAATAGGAGTTTGTTTAACTGTTATTTAGGAAAATATTTTCTTCTCATTCTCTGCATGACAACTTTAAATTGGTATATAATGTAGTTTAAGTAAATAAGGAATACCTCTTTGTATCATTTTTCTTGTTCAGGAGGTTTTGTTAGTGTTTAGTGTAAATGTATTACTTGTTTTATCAGTATCACAGTTGGACATTACTCACCACTACCCCATAAATAAGAAGACACAGAATAATGGAGACCTTTAGATGAGGAAAAGTGAGTTTATAGTTTCCTAGGTTAATAACATTATTAAAATTGCATTATCCCTGTCTCACCCTCCATGGCATATATATTAATACCTAAAGTACCTAAAGTTATTTATCATGTATTTTCTCCCAACTTTTTTTTTTTTAATAAGTTGGCTATTCAGTTTCCATCAGAAGATATTCTCCTGGTAACAGCTTCTCCTGTTATTAAAGCGGTTACAAATTTCAAGCAGGTAAGAACTTTTGTATAACTTTCTTAGTATTAATGTTTTTAAATTTCAGTAACTTACCTAGTAGTGTAATTATAGTTTTTAAATGTTTAAAATGACAATTGTTCTTTTGATAGTCATTTTAAAATCAAAGCTCAAAGTTTAGAATTATATTGAATACTGAAAGCACTCAAATGATGTTTAATTTCTAGACCTTTATTTTCTTCCCATCTTTTCCTCCCACTCAGAATTACTTTTCAGAAAATTTTAAAGTTCTTTTAAGGAAAAATGTTATACAAATATAAATATGAATACAAATATATTTGGATATCATTATATATATATATGTGTGTATATACACAGCTGTATGTATACAGTTGTATACAGTTGTGCGTGAATAAATGTGTGTTTGCAAATCAGAAAAGTGCTTCTTGGCCAAGTTTACACATGCAGATAATTAATGTTTCAGATGTGTAATAAGCATCTCAGAACACTTTGTAGTTCCATGAATTTACATGACACACATCATAACATTACATTAGGAGTCTGAAATCATTTGGATCATAGTATCATAGAAGAGTGATCTCTAAACATTTTTAAAGTGGTACCTCACATCAAAAAAGTTTTGATTTATGTCCTAATATGTGTATATTTACATATTATAAATTATGCCTATACTGTAGTGCTATAATTATGTTATAATGCCTATGCAAAATAATTAAGTAAATCTTTTGTTCCCATACTTCGGTGAAGAATACTACCATAGTCTTTAATACAAGTTTTCCCTTACATCCTGATAATAAAATAAAACTTTCTCATGTTGTAAGCTGCTAAGACTAAGGGTAATTTAGTGTAATATGTTGCTTGTTTATAACCTACTTAGAGATACCTAAGATATCTTACTACCTAGGTACAGCCAAAGGACTTACGGGATTGAGAGAACCAGATAATAAATTATGGCTATTAATCTCGTAAAAGAAAATATATATATATTCAATTATAGGCTAAGAGCACATACATAATACAAAGATGTATAGCTGGGTCTTATAAGTGTTTTTCCAGAAGACTGAATTTGGTGTAACTATTCCACAGTTGTAAGACTTGAGTTCAGTTTTGCTAATTTTGTAAATTTTGTACAATAGAAGAAAAAAAATCTTGGGTTCTAGGCCTAATTTATTTACCTAGCTGCATAGCCTTGGCAAATCTCTGTATCTCAGTTGCTTCACTTGTAATATTAAGATAATACCTTCCTTGCTTAGGAAGTATTAAGGTTGTATATGTTGGGAGTTTAAGACATACTAATATATGTAAAAGTACATTAGAGTAACAAATACTATGCAAATGTCAGTTCTTAAAATTCAGAAGTAGGAAATTGCATCCTTTATTTCATTTATTGAGCATTTATATTATATATCAACCAGTGTGCTAGGTACCCAGTTACAGAGATTGAAAGTATAGAACATCCATAAAAAATTACTATTGGTTATCTCTGGAGTCAGGGGACAGCAGTAATGGTGGGGTAGTGTGAGATTCAGAGAACGGTAAAGAGGCACATTTTATTTTATATTAGGTATTGTTTGTTTAATGTTAAAGGACATGTTTTTGTGGCTTCTGTAATTTCTAAAGAGAAAAAAGATTACTAATAATAACTCACATTACTTCTGGAGTATTTACTATGCACCAGACACTCTTCTAAATGTTTTAAATGTATTAATTTAATCCTTAAGTAACTCTGTGAAGTAGATTCATATATTATCCCCACTTACAGATGAGGTAAATGAGTCACAGTGAGGTTGGGTAAATTTCTGAGATGTGTATAGATAGGTTTTGAATACAGGCCCTTTGGCTCTATAGCCCTCATGGTTAATGAGTAGCACTTTCTCAGAATAATTCCTTTCTATTGGGGCAACAAATCTACAAGACATAGTTATCATACAATATGGTAATTATACTGATAGTGGCAAAAAAAATCAAAACTGAGGTCATATTGCAATATATGCATAATTATTTTTATAAATATATTATGAATGAGTGCCAAAGCCTGCCTTTGAGAATCCAGAAGGCTTTACATAGGAGGGTGCATTGAAACTGAGACTGAAAGAATAGTAGGTTTTCCCATGTTTGTAAGAGGTTTAATAGAGGCAGGCATGTGCCAAAGTGCATGAAAGTATATTGCTATGTAATATGCTCTAACAGGTACCAATTCAGTGCTGCTGGAGTGTAAAGTGTGAGGTCGAACCAGTAGGCAGGGGCCAGACCATGATGGGCTTGTATGCTATGGTACGGAATTGTATTTTATCCAAATTTAGATGATGCCAAACTTTTGGAGCATTTTCAGCAGGTGAGAACACTGAATTGGAGATAGAAATTTAGTATTCATCATCGTCTCAGTGTCAGCTGAGTCATACGCATGGGATGCAGTCTCCCAGGAAAAATACATACAGTGAAAGAGCCCAGCAGCAGTGTCCTGTGGAACACTGACATTTAAAGGAAGATCAGAGAGAACGGAAGACCTGAAAATGGCCAGCCTTATTAGTCTAGATTGAAGAGGAAAACTATGAAAAAGAAGTATCCCTGAAGCCATGGAAGGCAAACGTTTAATTAAGAGGAGTGGTCACAGGACGCCTGAGTGGCTCAGTTGGTTAAGCGTCTGCCTTCAGCTCGGGTCATGATCCCAGGGTCCTGGGATCGAGTCCCGCATTGGGCTCCCTGCTTCTCCCTCTGCCTGCAGCTCCCCCTGCTTGTGCACGATCTCTCTCTTTCTCCTCTGACAAATAAATAAAATAAAATCTTTATTTAAAAAAAAAAAAGAGGAGTGGTCAAAGACGTCAGATCCAAGGGAATAGTCAGACAAGACAAGGACTCAAAAGTGCCCATATCTAGTAAATCATTGGTGACTTTGAGACAGTTTACACTATCTTCAGAAATTAGTAGGGGGTAACTCTAAAATGACAGTAACCATAAACTTTTCTCTTTTGAAATTTAGCTGCAAAGGGAAAAAAGATGGGGTGGCAGCAAATAGAGGACATGAGGACTAGCATTAAGTTGAGTTTTAGTCTTTTAAGGTGGAAAACACTTTAGCATGTTTACCTGTTGAGATTAAGAAGCCAGTAGGAATGAAGATAAAGAAAAATAAGGAATACATAATAAAAGTCCTGAGGAGGTGAGAGATGATGGGATATAGAGCACAGATTACTGGATTCACCTTGAAAATAGAAATGGGTCAAGGAAGGCAGACTATAGCTGAGAAATGTATAGATGGTGGGAAAGAAGTAGTAAGAGTTCTTAGTAGTCTCTTTAAGCCTAGAGGTAAGGTGATTTGCTGGGAATGCAGAGGGTGGAATGTGTTTGTGAAACATCAGAATGATGAACTTTTGAAAAAATTACTGAGGGATGGAAGATGTTACTTGATGTTACTCTTCTCACTAAATTGACACTTGAGCACCTATGGTATAAGAGCAATGGTGGCTAGGGGCGCCTGGGTGGCTCAGTCATTAAGCGTCTGCCTTCGGCTCAGGTCATGATCCCAGGGTCCTGGGATCGAGCCCTGCATTGGGCTCCCTG